TCCTCTTCTTCTTCTTTTTTCTTTTTTTTTTTTTTTTCAAGTTTCACTCACCTGTGCTGTTGTTGAAACTTCCACAGCTTCGTGTAGACGTCAAAGGTGCGCCCGAAGTAGCTCTGCCACTGCCTGTGCCCGTATTGTGGCAGATCCCGTAGCCCGTTGAACAGCTGCTTGCTTTTCTCGAGCAGGTGGCAGAACTCGAGGATGACTTTTCGCTCGTGGTCGTCCATGCTAGCCATCATGACCATCTTTGAGGTGAATCGAGATCGCGGCCACTGGCTGGACGGCCCTTCAGACGACGGTCGCGGTGGCCCCGCGTGATGGCGCCTGCCGATTCCGCCACCCTCTCTTCTTGCACTCTGAACACGGACGACGCGACCAACGCGCCGACCCAATCAATACTTGCCTACCCTGCATCAGGGGGCGCACCATGCGTGCCGTACCACGCCACCGAGCCACCGCGCGACGAGCCACCCCGTACGCGTCGCAACGTCGACCTGGGACATCTGTCCGCTCTGCCGGTAGACTCGCCGTTGGCCCACACTCGCAACGAGGGAACGATCGATGGATTTATTTCAGAGGATAACTACCACCATTGACTAAGGACAGTAAGGCTAGACTGTGACATTAAACGGGTCTTCGTCTCTCTCAGGATAATCTGAAATACCAACCAGGAAAAAAGTCACGGATTTTTCTATAGCGCATTCTATGCTTAAACCATGGTGAATTGGAGAAACTCAAACAAAATGATACGAAATGATATCCGATTGCAATTACAGTATAGTGTTCGGTTTGTGTTCCAGTGGCTTGGGTTCTTCCTTCTTTATGAGCTTGAGATTTTTAGGTGCACGAAAGTATGTATTTTTCAGCGAAGTGAATCTTTCCTTCGATCGTTCGATCGATCGACGCGAAACAGTTGATTTGAAAATTTCTTAGAAATTGCATTAGCGACTCGATCGCTACAAGTGGTTAATCGAAAATTTTAAATAGTATTTCGAAATGTTATGCAAGAGAGTTTATCCTTTAATTGTTATCCTTTACTTGTAAAACTTGGTCGATGTGCAACGTGGAAGTTTAATTGGTACTGATTTTTGAACTTGATCTCTCGGTCGTCGATGATACGGAAATTAATCCTTGAAAATCTGTAATATATACTTCAAAAATACTATAATTATAATCAAATAATTTGATTAATAATTTAAAACAACAACAAATACCATAATTCCTATATTTATAATATATATAATTTCAACTATTTATTCATAATAATAGAGTAATTCAATTATTTTATATTTTCAAACATTATTTCATAGTTTCAATAATTCATTTGTAACGTTTAAATTATGTTCTACATTTCTACAATTATTTAGCTTGTTTGCAAACAAGTTTAATTTCTTCTATAGGGTGTCCAGTTCACCATTGCTTAAGTGTATAGTGCACAAGTGAGAAACCAATGATTTTTTTCTAGTCGGTATTTCAGATTCTGAGACGCGAAGTTCCATTTCATGCCCGGTCTATCCTATCTTTAGTCAATGCTATCACCGATTCGATGAGCTTCGTGGTAAATTAGTTCAGTGGCAAGTTATCGAGGGTTGAATTATCGTAGTGGTTTGCAAATGGTGGAGAATGGTAACTTGTGGAGTGAATGAGTGGGATGTCGCTGGTGTTCCATAGTCGAGGTATAGACTACAGTTTCTTCTGAAGCAGGGTTTTGCGGAATTTTAAGGAAAACAATGACCGCCAATGTAGGGATAGTCCTAAGACCCTTCAATGTTTACTGGAATAATTAAATTAATTAAGAAATTTTTAATTTTTTTTTTTTATGATTTAAACTGGTTATACTTGGAGTAAATAAAATGGAAACTGTATAAAGACATACATATATGTCACACTTTATGTATATAGAAATCTTCTCTATTATTTCATTATTTTTCTTACATTATTCATTATCTCACTTTCCATGGTTTCCTACAACTTGATTTCTACAGCTTCAACCTGTATTATACATTAATTGAATCTGTTAGGATTTCTATTTTGAAATAATTTGATGATGAAATGGTGTACAGTATAGAAATATAGAAATGTAGCAAGGAAAAGAATCTATAATACTTATTTTTATTTTAGTCGCACCGTCATTTTCAAATCTTAATTTCACAATTATTTTCAAAAATCTTACCTCTCAGCCTACTATTTCCAGTCTGCTTTTCAATTGTCGCCTTCGATAAATCCCACGAGGGATACTTTAATAGTGATAGATTAAATTCTCGCAGTTTCGAATGCGGTGGGGTGAGTCGCGAATCTGGGGTGAACGAAAGAGGTGGCGCTCGACACTTTCGTTGTCGTGGCTCGTTACGGTTGCAGAAACGGTGGGAGTTTTGCCGCCCTGCTAGTCGGCTGCCGCCGTCGGCGGAGATTAATTAACTAGATAACGCTCGGTGGCTGCGAGGGAACGTTGAAAGAGAAGGTTCAACGAGGGAGAGTGAAAGAGAGTAACGAGAACAACTTCTCGTGGGGGTGCGTGGCCAGC